TGATTCTGTTTTTAGGCGTTATTGTTTTTGCATGATTTGGTTTTTGTTATTGTTTTTCCATTTCTTCTTGATAATTCAAAGTGAATCGGGTTTTTGTGCAGAAACTAGATGGTGAGGATGCAAGAATCGCAGACTATTTTGATGTGATTTCTGGTACAAGCACTGGCGGACTTGTGACTGCCATGCTAACTACTCCCAATGAAAAGAATCGCCCTATGTTTGCTGCCAAAGATATTAAGGAGTTCTACCTTGATCACAGTCCCAAAATTTTCCCTCAATCTCGGTAATGACCTTTTAATATTACCTCTTTCTTATTTTTTATTATACAACAGTAGATCTAGCATACTTCTAACAAGAAGGGGAAAGAAAACTGCTATGAGGCTGGTGAGACTCTACGTACACTGCCTTAGGGTCCATTGCTTCTTAACTCCGACAAATCTGCTTTAATTTGCTCTATAATGGAATATCATAAGCAATAGATTAATAACACATGTGATCTTCTTTTTTGTTAAGCAGGAATTTTCTATTTGGTCAAGTAAGAAAGGTAATCAAGGCCATAATAGGACCAAAATATAATGGCAAGTATCTGCATAATCTTGTTAAAGAAAAACTGGGAAACACGCGATTGCATCAAACATTGACTAATGTTGTAATTCCAACTTTCGATATCAAGCGGCTCCAGCCTACCATCTTCTCTAGCTACGAGGTTACTTCATATATTTATCTTTTATTTTCTTTTGTATCTAAATTCCTTATTGGGGAGGTCCGTTTGATATGACTTCCATTTCATATTCCTTACTATGTGTATTTCATGATCTAGGTGAAACAAAATCCAAGCCTTGATGCCTTACTCTCTGATATATGCATTGGAACTTCAGCTGCGCCAACTTATCTACCTGCACATCGTTTTGAAACCAAAGATTCAGCAGGAGGAGTGAGACAATTCCATCTAATAGATGGTGGCGTTGCTGCTAATAATCCGGTATTTACATATGTTTGCCATGATCAGATCTGTAATACGACTCTGGAAATTTTAGATAGGGTTGAATCCTTGTAATAAATTACTGAAGAATAATATAACGGATGCAGCCCCTTAGATATTTGAGCCGCGGACGGTGGCCTTATAATTAAGTTGAACCAGTTTTTATTTTATATTTATTATTATTACTTTCAATCTCTCTCTTATTCTAAATATCTATATCTGGTTTCAGGCTTTAATTGCCATCAATGAAGTGACTAAGGAGATAAACCGGGGAAGTCCCGACTTCTTTCCGATAAAGCCGACGGAGTATCGCCGGTTTCTGGTTGTATCCTTAGGAACAGGCTCACCAAAATCTGAAGAGAAGAATGATGCAAATGAAGCAGCAAAGTGGGGTGTTTTAGGGTGGTTAACACATGGTGGTTCGACTCCATTGGTGGATGTATTCACTCAATCAAGTAGTGACATGGTGGATCTTCTCATTTCCACAGTTTTTCAATCCCTTCAATCTGAAAATAACTATATCCGAATTCAGGTAGTTATTCGTGCTTCCAAAACATCAAAACAAAATCCCTTTAATCCCCTCACATGTTTGATTATTTCTACCTTTTTTTTTTCTTCTAATTTTTGTTTATTAACACTCAATTAAAACATGCAGGATGACACATTAGGTGGGGAAGTTTCATCGGTTGATGTTGCAACCACAAAAAATTTGGAAGATCTAGTAAAAATTGGTGAGGGTCTATTGAAAAAACCAGTTTCAAGAGTAAATTTGGATACAGGCATGTATGAGGCCTCAGATCAGGTTACCATTACCAATGAGCAGGCTCTAATCAAGTATAACACTACTCTCACACCCTTTTTCTTCTTGTTATTATTTTTTTTAATTTTAGGATACTATTATATTTATGTTGACTAATATTATATTTGTTTTATTTGATTGAACGTTGTAGGTTGGCAGATGTACTCTCCAAGGAGAAGCGTATCCGGGAGGCTAGATCACCAATGGGACATTCTCCAAAGTTAGATCAATCGATTATCCTGAATAACTAAAATCAAGCTCATGAAATTTAGAGGTGGAGACCTGATTATTAACCTCACAATTCATTATTAGTTAGTGAATATGAATAAAGCCTGGGTGTGCCAGTGTAGTAATGTAACTCATATTTTCATATTTTACGTAATTTAATAAGTAATTAGTTGAAATTCACATTGTAATTTTCTCAGACAGATAAAATGATATTCATTTATAAACTTATATATATTTGATTAATTTATTTTTGTGTCACGAAGACATTGTAGTAGTCTAGTAGAGGTCGACGCACGAATTCATCGATTGATGACGACGATTATATTGACCCATTACCCAACATGAATGGTTTTATCTAAAGTTTTAAATTTGTACTTAAATGGTAAAATCGATGACGGGTGTTAAAATTGATAATGAAGAAAAAAAAACATGTGCACAATTCTAATATTTGAAGTATGAGAGAAATATCAGAATAATCCCTTAAATATTAATTCTGTCAATTATATTCACGAAGTTGCTAACAAAAAATCTGAATCTGATATATGCCACATG